TCCTGCTTAGGGAACTCAGCTAAACTTGGGTGTTTCGGAGTCTCCCTGAGCACAAGCTGAGCACCTCAGCCGTGGCTCGGAAATGCCGGCTCGGCCCGGACTTGGGCAGTAAGCAGTTAGCACAGTGCCAGGGCCTCCTAGCCCCTGCTGGCTCTCCCACCTCCGCTGCCGCCCCCACCAGTAGACTCCTCGTCCTACCATGGCAGCTGCCTGCTCAAGCCCGCCGTCTGCCTGCAGAGTGCCGTGGACTTGCTCTGTACTGCACTGTGTCTGTGCATGTCCTGACTGTGGTGTACCGCAAATAAAATGGCAGCAGGTGGCTAACCTCCGACCTCCTGGTGGTTTCTTTTCCGTCAGTTGAGAAGTCAGGATTGTCCGATCAGCCATGGAGCCCCGAGGATGTGCATTCTCCTCCAGGCTCTTCGGTAACCTCCACAGATGCCTCCTGCCAGGAAGCCATCACTGATAGGCCAGAACCAGGAGGAACCGAGTCTGTGTTGCCACTTTTCTGGAGTTGAAGGAGGGGGAGAGGAAGCCAAAAACCCTGTTAAATAAGCTCCAGCTAAACCCCTCAAGTGTATATCATCTCCTTGGCTCGAAGTGACGGGCACTTAGCGGTGAGGAAGCAGGAGGCTCATAGCTGTAACAGCATGTTCCACAGGAGCCCTGTGCAGACCCTCATCCGCCAAAGTTCATGGTCTTTCCTCTAAACTAGGGTTGGTTCAACTGTGGCCCACAGACCGGTTCCATCAGACATAGCTGGGCTGTAGCTTCCTGCCCCTACCCCAAGACCTTATGAATCATGACCTCTGAGAGTAGGGCTCTGAAGTCTGATTTTTATAAGCTGGGCCTGCAGATCAACCCTTACGCCCATAGGAGTTTGGGAACCACTGCGCCACATCCTGCTGGAAGGGTAGGACCTCTCTGGGAGGACAAAGATAGGCAGGGCTTTCCATCAACTCAGACACTAGGGCCCTTAGATGGAGGAGACCTGGTGAGGAAGCAGGTCTCAGATGAAAGGAAAAAGGGAAGCAAGGCAGGGATTTCATTCCAAGCTGGCTGGCCCCCCTGAGAATTCCCTCTCAGAATAAAGCCACCTGCTGGTCTCCAGGCTGAGGCTGAGCGAAGCCAAGAGTTCAAAGTCTCGGCTAAGCTCCGTGGGGCCGGGACGAGCAGGCGTGGGTTTCCACGGCAGCCTCAGGGCCTGGCTTGCATGGGGGCAGGCACCTCGGAGAACAACCGTGGACGCTCTGCAGCTGCCTGTAGGTTGCTGCTGTCTTTTCGGCCTCCCACCCCCATGTCCAGTGCAGCCAGACTGGCCAGTCCTCTGGCTCTGAAGAGCCATTACTGTTGTCTGTCCAAGATCTTCCTGCTACAATTGACTAACAAGTTGCCAAAAGCCCTGGAACTCGTGTGCCTGCTGTCATTCTCAGGGCTGGGCAAGGACCCTGACCTCAGGGAACCTGGCCAAAATGCTTCTCATTCCAACCTGTTCTCTTCTTCCACCTGCATCTGACGGTTCTGGTTAGTGCCTCAGAGTTGAGGTGGAGGTTTCTCAAATGATGGTTGGGACGTTGAGGTGGGGCACCAGAAGGCAGATGTGTAATTGCTACATGGGGGCAGAACAAAGTACTGAAAATAGCTCGGCTGCCCACACCACCGCGAGATTCGGCCTGCCGCTCCTTCTCCCAGATACAACACTAACTATGCGTGCACAATATTTCCTCAAGAAAATGGCTTTTCTGGAGTCAAGAAATCACCTCCTGTACAAAATTCAAGGTAACCAAATCAGCAAAATGTTCCCAGAATGACTCTGGAAAGTAGTTTATAATGTAGAATTCTCACAGTGAGAATTTTCTTCAGTCTCTTTAGCTAACTAAAGAATTGTATAAACAAGGAAAATTCTGGTCCATTCAAGAACAAAGGCCTGTAGCAGTTGTGTTTGCATTTTAAACAATAGCTAAGAATAAGCAATGCCTGTTCATTTACTGTAGTATTTACAAGATTCTCTAAAACACATGACCACGCTCTTGCTTCCCTCTCTTATCAAGTTACTGGGTGCCCTTCAAAGGTACAAACTGCCTTTTATTTTTAAATGTTCCTCCCTCATACCTTCTTAAACCAAATGTCCATTATTACAGGAATATTTCTGATTCTAAGACCCTAAAGCCATTCAAGCCATTCACAGAGGGAGCAGAAAGGCAACAAGTTACCCAAAACTGCGAGGGCAGCAGATCAGGAAGAGAGGTCAGGGAGGCCAGGAGCTCATTCCAGTCTCAGCTGGAGGGCTCGCAGAGAACAGGGTCTAAGCTCTCAGTCAGAGCGGCGCTGCCTGGACAGCACCTCTCTCACAGGCAGCCACCTCTGCTTGTGAACTTCTGTTAATGGGCAGCTCAGTACCTTTCCAGGAAGTCCGTTCGGGACCAGCTCTCAGCCTTAGATAAACTCCTGCACCCAAATCCGCCTCCCATGGACTCCCATCATTGGGCGCTGGTTCAGCCGCTGGCAATGCAGAGTGAATCTTTCCACCCTTCTGCAGGACAGCTTCCAGATATTTGAACAGAGTTTCCTGGTCCTAGCTAAATCTTTATTTTTTCCTCCAGACTAAACATCCTCCAAATCCTTCTTGCAACTTTCTCTGGAACAGCAACAATGTGCCAAAGTCCCTCTTACAATGTGGTTCCCAGAACTTCCCACGGCACAGTGCCCACGAGAGGCAGAGCCTCGTCCCTGGCTCTGGATACCACACCAGCTTTCTCTGGCAGCCACGTTGCCCTGCTAACTATCCCACTCTAGCAGTCAGCAGACTCTCCTGGCCTCTTACAGGGATGACTACCGATGGCATGGCGCTTGACAGAGGTCAAAGCCCTCCCAGACACAGGCTCTCATTAGCGCCTCACAAAAACCCAATGAGGTTAACTTTCATATATCTACCTATCTATCTATCTATATATACACATATATATAAAAATATATGTATATATGTATATATATGCCATAGGGTGTATGGCTCACTGGAGAAAGACAGGGAGAAAGAGAGAAGAAAAGTGAGAAATCCCCTCCCGGGGGAATGGCCACACCCCAATCCCTTCTCCTCCTTTCTCCTCTGGGATTTTGGGCACACACACACATGAGCCTGGTGTGATTTTCAAGCTGCCCAGTCTGGGACTTGAACTGCAGTCCCCAGTTAGGTGAATTAAAGATGAGAAAACTAAAGCCACACAGCCAGGCCTGAGCCATAATCATAATTCCAAACCCGCACACTTCCAAATACATCCATGCTGGCTTTTCGCTTGAACCACGATTAAGGCCAAAGGGATCTCCTTGGCTTCATTTGTTAGTGTCTGTTCACAATCTCCTTTCTGTTTGTTTCTGTTCCATTTTGCCTGCTCGTTCAATTCTGCCCACCCTCTGGTGGGTCTATCCCTTTCTGTTGCTGTTATGTTACAGGGAAGACACTGAGTTAGAGAAAGGCAGCGGGAGAGGAGGAGGTCCCAGCAGGAGGAGCCTTTGGGGAGGGAGTGCAGGGAAGAAAGGAACTCAGAGGAGAAGGCGTGGCGTGGTCTGCAAGCCCATACAGGATGCAGGTGGCAAGACCAGGCTCCAGGCCCCATGGCCATGGTGGGCTCTGCTTCTCTGGGAAGCCCTTAGCCTCTCTGAGCCTGAGCAGAGGGCTCCTGAGTAAGGCTAGTCAGTTCCCAAGACCCTTCCAAGTTCTATGAATCTCATGAATAGAAAAGGCCTCATCATTAATCAGTCTCATCTCTTGTAATCCAGTGAAGATTCTGAAAAATTAGACTTCACTCAAATATTTAACATGACTTTCTTTTGCTAAAATAAGGAAAAGCAAAACTGGCTAGGGCTATAGTTAAATAAATATATATATATATGGCATCCAGCCCTGGTTTTCCGTTGCTGCTATTTGTTTGTTTGGGAGAAAGGGAGGGTTACAGCTACCTCTCAAGATATGGGCCCCAGATTCTCAAGAGGGTGGAACAAGAAACCCATATCCACACCTGACACCTTCCCACAGGACCAGAGGACTGAGAGTCTCACAGCGGGCAACCTCCGCACGTCACCTTCTTACAGGTGTGTGCGGGGAACGGCTCTGCTTCTTACGCATCTCTCCTGTGTCTTCACAGGAGGCCACAGGAGACCATTCTTTGGTCATTGCCCTAAGGTAAGAAATATTGCTCATGTTTTCATTCTCCCGGAGCAGCGACGGCCAACGGAAATAGAATGCCAGTCACCCCTGTAAGTTTCAACTTCCCAGTCGCCACATGTGAAGAGTAAAAAGGAACACGTGAAATTAATTCTAATCGAATCGTTTTACACTCAACGTATCCTAAACATGATCATTTCAATATGGAGTCAACAGGAAACCTTAATAACGGAATACTTACTGTCAGTTTTTTGTTCGAGGCCCTCACGATCCAGCAGGTATGCTATTTCCAGCACAGCGGTGAGCCCTGGCTGCTGCTGCCTCCCCATCGAGCCCGTGTCGAACGACGTTCCGTGGCTGGTTTCCCGGTCTGCATCATCTATCCAACTGGGTGTCCTGGGAGGGACTCCCGGGAAGCAAGAGGGGGAAATACAAGCACCCACATAGCCA